ACACTAATCATCATCACAAGCAGCACCCCCCCCGCCCCACACACACTGCAGTTAATATGCACATGAGGAAAGCTGTCACGCAGTGACCATCATGCGTGACTGTTGAACTCGGGTAAAAATGTCCAAACAAATTATTCTGGTGAGGCCAGCCATTATATTGATCAATAATGGGCCACAGGTATGGTGCAGGACTTTAGGCCTATTGTTTAAAAGCCAGCAGGTATGTTTGATGACCTATGTAGGCCTAGTGTTTAAAGGTCAGCAGATTGTATGTGTGACTGTTTGTAGGCCTCTAGTTTAAAGGCCAAAATATGTTAGAGAAAAGGAGAAGTTAACTCTTTTTTTTTTTGTATAACCCATGGACCCACCTGATATTTTTTTTTATTCCACTACTGGGTGTAAAAATCTGCAACCGGTTAAGACCAATTATATTGTATTCCAGTTGAGAACATCTGACAGTCTCTACTGTAGCAATACGCATTCCCTCGAACAGTTATTTCTATAACACAATCCTGCTCTCTATATCTCTCTAACTTTCCCACTAACTCATTCTCTTTCCCGGTGTCTGTGTGACTGTGTGTGTGCGTGTGTCTTCACGTTAAAATTTCTGGATACGCAAAAAGTCTGGTTCAAAGGTTATTTCTCATGCTGGTAATTAGGTTTTTAAAAAAACTCATCAGAGTATGTTCAATCTATCTCTCTTGTTGTACATCTTGACATTCGTGACGCTATTCCCAATGGAACAAGAACCTGATCTGTACAAGAACACATCTGATGGTACAAGAATGAGTCTGATGGTACAAGAACCTTATCTGTAAAAGAACACATCTGATGGTACAAGAATGTGTCTGATGGTACAAGAACCTTATCTGTACACGAACACATCAGATGGTACAAGAATGTGTCTGATGGTACAAGAACCTTATCTGTAAAAGAACACATCTGATGGTACAAGAATGTGTCTGATGGTACAAGAACCTTATCTGGAAAAGAAAACATCTGATCGTACAAGAATGAGACTGATGGTACAAGAACCAATCCGATGGAACAATAACCTATCAAATGAACTAAGAGCCTATCTGTACAAGAACATATCTGATTGTACAAAAACCTTTCTGATGGTACAAAAACCTACATGATGGTACAATAACCTGATTGTACAAAGCTATCTGATTGTACAAAAACATATCAGATTGTACAAGAACCTATCTGATGGTACAAGAACCTATCTAATGTTAAAGAACCTATCAGATGGTACAAGAACCTATCAGATGGTACAAGAACCTATCTAACTGTACAAAAACCTATCTGATTGTACAAGAACCCATCTAATTGTAAAAGAAACTATCTGATTGTACAATAACCTATCTGATTGTACAAGAAAATATCTGATGGTACAAGAACCTATTTGATTGTACAAGAACCTATTTGATTGTACAAGAACCTATCTCATGGTACAATAACCCTTCTGATTAAACACGAATCTACCTGATGGTCTTAGAGGCCGTCTTAATAAGTATCTGCTGGAACTGCCAAGAAACTGCTGATATTTTCTGAAATTATCTTTTCTTTTTTTTTAAAAAGCTTTCAATAAAGCCTACTTCTCCGTGGCATCGTTCATTATACAGCCAAAACGCATTTGCACTGTTAACTTTACAGATCCAGTTTTAAATGACCTTGCAGATTGAAACCCGATGTGATTTGTCCCTTTACATCCTTTAACTTATAATAATCAATATTCTAAGGGCACGAGATGTCTCTCTTAGGGCCCCGGCCGTGAAACATGGCCTAGTAGTCCCTGGGGACTCCGGCCATGCAACTCGGCCATGAATAAAAGGGGTTCGGAACAGCTTTACTTCCTCCCCGGAGGTGGCGTTTCGTTGCCACCCCCACCGCCCGGGGGTCATCCGTTTTCCCAGTGTGGGACGGCTTTACTTCCTCCCCGGAGATGACATTTCGTTGCCACCTCCACCGCCCGGGGGCCGTGCGTTTTCCTTGGTTTGGGACGGCTTTGCCTCCTCTCCGGGAGCAGTATGCTGGCCTACTAACTCCCACCATCCCGGGAGTCCTGAGCCAAGTTAAGGGGTTCCCTAAGAAATGTTTCCCTCCGGGGAGGCGTTGCCTTGCCTCAGCCCGCGTTTTTCCGGAAGCTGTTCGGACCGGACATAGCGGCTTTAACTTCCTCTCCGGGTGAGGCGTTGCGTTGCCTCGGCCCACCGCTCTGGGAGCTGTTCGGGCTGGACATGTCGGGACGAAACGGTCGCCTAGGGGTGGCTTTCTCAGGGCCACGTCTTTTTAATCATTGGCAAGGGTTTTGGGCCCACTACCTCATACCCATAACCGGCAACACGTAATCATGTTAGCGCTTCCTTCCGTTGCGTTAGAAGTCATGCGTTTTGCAAGAATAAATGAATAAATAAAAGAAAATAAAAGATGAGTATGGGGTTTGAGCAAAATATCTTCCTCCCAGTGAAAGGAGGCTTTGCGTCACCCCCTCCCCTAGCTCATTGGGTCTTTCGATAGGGACAGTGTGATCTTTAGCTTCAGGGAGCACGCCCTATACTAGTCTGTTACGCCACGAAGAGGCAGATCACGTGTACACCACTCGAGCAAAGTGGTGCTGGTTCCCCCTAGCAAGAGCCGACCAGAGCGGAAACCAAACAGACATCTCTTTAATAAAGACCTTCAATTAAAAATTTAAAACTTTAAAAAAATACTTTGCCCTACTAGTTACTGACTTTGTCAACTTGATCTCCAATGCATGACAGTCGCCCGTTTTGTATCTGTCCGCTATCAGTAATTCAGTATCATGTTATTGATCCGAGAACTGCTGAAACATGATAACATAAACCCGATTAATCAATTAAAACAGAATCGTGGTAAGACTAATTATCTCTTCGCGGAGTTAAACAAGAAGAAGCCAAAAAATGCGGACCAACGGTATATCATCAAACGATTACTCGTGGACACTACAGTAAATTGCGTTTTGTACATTAGAAACAGTCGGTTATTAAAACTGTTAACATAAAAATATGGGAGCTTTCCTTCTTCATTCTCAAACAAAACTCAGGTAGCCAACAAAAAAAAAAAAAAAAACAATAACCCGAGCCTCTCAAAGAGCGGCGCAGCGCTACTCAAACCAGGGATATCAATTAAATTTCACGCTAGGATTGGATTATTCAAAGGCAACTTGTAAGAACATTATTAGAAACATTCGGTTATTAAAACTGTTAACATAAAAATATGGGAGCTTTCCTTCTTCATTCTCAAACAAAACTCAGGTAGCCAAAAAAAAAAAAAAAAAAAAACAATAACCCGAGCCTCTCAAAGAGCGGCGCAGCGCTACTCAAACCAGGGATATCAATTAAATTTCACGCTAGGATTGGATTATTCAAAGGCAACTTGTAAGAACATTGATTCTTCCTGTCAATTTTTGATGAGTGCCTTCTGCCGACTCGATTCAAATAACGAAAACAACAAAGAAACAAATAACGCGATCGGCTACTTGTAAGAGAAAGCGGAATTTCAAAATATTTGGTAATGATACGTTGAACAAAGTCCGTTAAAATGTGTGGGATTTTTCACATGTGGATGGCCATGCGCTGCTACAATTTCAGTGTTGTCAATTGACTGGCCAACCTATATCCCAGTTAAGTGTTTTGGTGTTGTCCACATTCTTTGTAAAACACAATTCTATTAAATATATTTTTATTTCCTACATCTGCTTTGTTGAGATGCAGTTAATACATTTTAAGGGTTTAGAATTTAGACTTCATAAAGTTCATGTTAAGTGCTCACAAATGGTTGCTGTCCAATTACCGGAAAATGGGCAAAGTTTTATACCATTAATAAAGAAATTCAAAGATGTATAATGTTATGAATAATTTGAATGTTATAATCTATATAAGGAAATGTAAACAAACAAATAATTATGGAATGTAGGACTAATATAAAATGCAAACTCGAAGTTATTCTTTGAGGAGGAGGGGGAATTATTTCATATTGTTAGAACCGCTGTAACCATTTTTTTTTTAAAATTAGCTATACTTAAACTTGATTAAGTGATAAGTTCTTTCATGATGGCCACATTTTCAATTGTTATCATTGCATTGTAATTTTGGGCTAGTGTTAACTGATCTGAAAACACGAACCTCAAACTCAAAGCTGATAAAATAATTTCACAAATGTTAATGTGTCAATTCTTAATTTGAAATCAATCCAATCAAATTTCCGGGCTTAGTTCAGCATGTGTATGGGTTCGTTGGATTTTCATGTTTATTCGTATCAAGTTTCACACATATATTGTTTCTATACGTTTAATAAAAAAAGACAACTTAGAAAAGAAATGGTTTTCATTTTAAACAAATACATAAATAGATATTTTTATTTAAAATACGTATATGTATGTATATATATATATATATATATATATATATATATATATATATATATATATATAGAGAGAGAGAGAGAGAGAGAGAGATGTGTGTCTAATGTTGTGTATACTATTATTGTGTGTTGTGTGTTTATGTATTAGGAACAGTTTTTTTTTTTTTTTTTTTAAATAATATCTAATCATCATAGCACGCTAAGCTTATATTGGAGCCCTTCACGAAGCATTTTCAATATACAAGTTTGTAGTCTTTACATAATGGGACTTGAAGCAAACTAAAGAGAACAACTGATCAGACATTGGAATCGCTAAAAAAACTTTTAAAGAATGGCTTTCAGGGATACGACAATGCTGTGGAAAATTGCTTTCTGCATACAGCTAATAGGTAAGTTCACGTGTTGCTAGCTTTTGTTTTAAATTATTTTAAAGAAAAATAAATGTTATTTTTGTTAGTTTCTTTTTGCAAGGTGTTTAAGGTTGGTGAGGTTGAACTCAGCGATGTTGGCTTGTTACAACATGGTTAAAATGAGTAAGGTTGTACTCAAAGATAGTGGCTAGCTGCAACACGGTGAAGGTTGGTGGGGTTGAACTCAGACAAAGTTACCTTTTTGCAACAATGGTTATCGTTGCCGGCTTTTTAACGACTTAAACAAACTTTTAATGCATCTTTTTGGGGTTTTCTTGACCAAGCCCCCCCCCCCATGTTCTGTTGAAAACTAGGCTCAATTGTTGCATTTTGGTAAATTCACTATGCTAGTGTTCCATCTTTTACAAAAATCCTGAATCGTACCATTTGTGTTAAAATCAATTTAATGAAGAAACTCCGTTATGTATTTTCTTTTTCATTAATACAATTTTTAAACTTATAATTTGAACTAAAACAATTTAGAAAAAAATTATATTTACTTTTAAAAAAAAATATATCCAAAAATACATTACCACACTCTTAAGTGATACAGCATGTCTTACGATTTCATTTTAAATAAATTACGATTAGCGATCATTCGAGTAGACGATGGCCTTTCTTTGGCTTATTATCACACCGACTTTTAACCCGTCACTGATAACTTAGCCTACAAACAATGGAAATTCTGTCCCAACTTTCCACAATCACTGACGTCAGTTCACTCCTACTGAAACTCCACATTTTTTTCTGGCCCAACCCAAATGAAGTCACGAGAGAAATTTTAATAATTGCACCAAGGTCCGTGCTGAGGGAAAAGCGTACAATTGTATCGTTTAATTCAATACAAAGGTCTTTCCTAAGGACGACCACCACCCCCTGATATTGCCATCGGGGGCCAGTGCCCTCTTCACATATACATATATATATATATATATTTATTACATTGCACGATATTATATTTTATAACGGATTTATACGAATGCCTTCGGGTTTAGTGTTCGTTTATTTTTTTTTCTCAGCACTAATAATATAAAATATGTGGAGTGGGGTGGGGGGGCGGGGGGGGGGTTCTGAAAAGGAAGCAGGAAGAACCAGAAGCCAAATATGTAAAAGAGCTATCTCATTGAACAAGACAATCACAAAATACCATAAAAGTACTCACTGAATGCTGTAAAATTGTTAAATATCTATATGTGGAGTGGGGTGGGGGGGCGGGGGGGGGGTTCTGAAAAGGAAGCAGGAAGAACCAGAAGCCAAATATGTAAAAGAGCTATCTCATTGAACAAGACAATCACAAAATACCATATAAGTACTCACTGACTGCTGTAAAATTGTTAAATATCTTTACTGTGTACAGCTTGATAAAACAATGAATACAACCAACGAAAGGTTCCTAAACTTTGCACCCCATCACCCATGCACCATTAGACACAACACTTGGTATCACTCATCTCGTAATAAAATTCTACTCATCAAAAATCTTCCCAATAGCGTATAGAATGTATTCATTCATTTAAATCCTCACAGATTATACCATTGCATTGGAAATGATATTGGTGTATGCGTTATATATTTAAATACTTTTTAATCCTTCGTAAGGTATTATTTTCATTAAAAAAAAAAAGAAATAAATGGTGACTAAAAAATATTAGTATCAATCAATTATTTAAATTATCCTCCAGGTTTCATTTTGGCTTTGATTGGTTTCGGCATCAACTACCTGGCCACGGCCTCGTGGGGACAGAAATCGGCAAACGGCGGGCTGTGGAAATACTGCTACAACGGAGATTGTTTGGACACCAGTGACCTACTCACCTATAACAAATACAGCGTCGGTGAGTACCCACTAATTTGTTATATAATGATACACACACAACTTTGATCGGTCATCTTAAACAGTGAAAAAACCCTATACGAATTGAGACGCCTCACCAAGCCGTCCGGCATGACAAATGTATTCAAATTCATCGTCTCACTAGTAACGGATTGGGGGGGGGGGCCTCTCTTGAAAACCCATGCTGACCAACCGGAATGACTAGTTTTATTAGTTCATTTCTATACCTGTTTATTGTGAAAAGCCATTAACATGTCGGACACATGCACACGGTTTCTGTACGAGACCTTGTGTGGGGGGGGGGGGGAGGAGAAACAAAGGTTTTGGTAGGAGGCGTTCCCTTTGAAATATCTGTCATGTGTCACGTGATGTAGTGGCTCTTTGGATCACCTTGAAGAGTCCATCATGTGTCACGTGATGTAGTGGCTCTTTGGATCACCTTGAAGAGTCCATCATGTGTCACGTGATGTAGTGGCTCTTTGGATCACCTTGAAGAGTCCATCATGTGTCACGTGATGTAGTGGCTCTTTGGATCACCTTGAAGAGTCCATCATGTGTCACGTGATGTAGTGGCTCTTTGGATCACCTTGAAGAGTCCATCATGTTTCACGTGATGTAGTGGCTCTTTGGATCACCTTGAAGAGTCCATCATGTGTCACGTGATGTTGTGGCTCTTTGGATCACCTTGAAGAGTCCGTCATGTGTCACGTGATGTAGTGGCTCTTTGGATCACCTTGAAGAGTCCGTCATGTGTCACATGATGTAGTGGCTCTTTGGATCACCTTGAAGAGTCCGTCAAGTGTCACATGATGTAGTGGCTCTTTGGATCACATTGAAGAGTCCGTCATGTGTCACATGAGGTAGTGGCTCTTTGGATCACCTTGAAGAGTCCGTGAAGTGTCAAATGATGTAGTGGCTCTTTGGATCACCTTGAAGAGTCCATCGCTGATAACATATAGCTCTTTAGATAACATTGAAGGTTCCGTGACAGGTCAGGTTATATCGTGCCTATTGAGTCACATTGATGTACCCATTATAAGTAACATGAGATGCCCATTGAATCACATGGAAGAGTCCATCTTGGGTAGCATGATGTGCTCATTGTTTCAAATGGAAGAGTCCATCTTGGGTAACATGATATGCTCATTGTTTCACATGGAAGAGTCCATCTTGAGTAACATGATGTGCTTATCGAATCAAATGGAAGAGTCCACCTTGGGTAACATTATTTGTTCATTAAACAACATAGAGGAGTCCACAATGGGCAACAAGAAACAGGGATTTATCTTACAACCAATGCGTTTCAGTGTGATGTCAATATATTTTTGTTGATTATTTCACTCCCAAAACAAGCTACATATTAGAGGCAGGTCCATACGGCTCCATCTACCATACAATTAATTTCTTCGGTGACTGAGCCACGTGCCACTTCGATTAACAAAAAATTCGCTAATGCAGCGGTTCTCAAACTGTGGGTCGCGACCACTTTAGGGGTCCCCTAAGACCATCGAAAAACAAATATTTATGAAGGAGCAATGAAAATTATTTTATGTTTTGAGGTCGCCACAGCACAAGGAGCTGTATTAAAGGATCGCGTCTGTAGGAAGTTTTAGAACTACTGCACCAATGAATTATTCCTAAACACAGTAATCAGTCTTCATACTTGTAGCGCTCCACTCTAAACCAGAATTATTCTTTCTTACAAAATCAGTAGATTAACAAATGATAAATAAATTGGCGTGTCATAAAAAAACAGCATCGTCTCATAAAATTACATTTAAAATCCCTCTCGTATAGGACCATTAAAACAATTGTACACCATTAAAAGCAATATTGTATGATTTTATATTTCGTTTTAAATCTCTGTTTATTTTACTTTATAGGAATTTGCATGTTATCAATAAGTCCCCGAATGTTTTTTTTTTTTTTTAAATTGTTATTCGCTAAATCACCATGTGATACTTCATACAAATAAAATAAATAGGCTGCGACTATTCGCACCCGGGTATTAGAAGTGAGAGATAGGGATTAAAAACTATTTAAAATATTATTGTTGGGTTTGTAAGACAAAAGGAGGTATCAAATGAAAGATCATTGAATGGACTCTATATTTTTAAACTAACTTCCTCAGGGTATAACTAAAATAAACTACCGCAAATGACATCTGAATGGGATTTAGTCTAAAGGGACCCGGGTGTGAACAGAGGCGTAGCGAGCGGGGGCAGGGGGGACAGATGTCCTCGGGCGCCAGCTAGTTAGGGGCGCCAAAATGTGCTTTGATTTTTATATTATTGGTAAAAATAATGGGTTTGAGGGTTGAAAACAAGAAAAGGGGGCGCTTTAAAATGGATCTGGTCCCCGGGTGCCAAACACCTTCGCTACGCCTCTGGGTGAGAATAGCCACTTCGTAATTAATATACCACATCATCAGTTTGGTTGGACACAAGTAAAGGCATGATGAGCATCTCCTTAGCGGCAGAGTTCGCCACAATTGGCTTGACGACGTTAGCGTTCTTGTCGACGCCGACAAAGCTCATCGGACTGTGCACTGCAGCGGTGTCGGGTATTTCAGGTAAGACAGGTATATCACGTGAAACAGATGGTGTTAAAAGGGGTAGAAAAATTAGTTCCGGAGGACTGTAGATTGTAACGCAAAAAAAAGCTTCATTTTTTTTTTTTTACAAATGGTTCACATGGATAAAAAAAAAACCAACAAAACAACAAACAAACGATTCTCGCCTTGTAAATTTGAACGAGAGTTAATTAGCGCCAAATATGTTAATATAATAAAAATACAATTTTATTTTATTTTTTTAAATTTTAAATTGATGGTATATTAAAATATGGTATTTAAGATAAAACTGCTGTTTCCTTGGTGCAAATCAGACTCAAAGTATATAGTTAAAATAATTTCTGCTCCCTTTTCCTACAGGGGTTCTTATTATGAGTGACTCCAACCTTGACGATTTCAAAAACATTGCTCGCATCCAGAACCCCCTCCCCCTTCCCCCCCCCCCCAATCCACCGAACGCACAAAAAAGAAAAAAAATGTGTAAATATAATCTAACATCTGCTTAAAAGGAAGGAAAATTATGTAGTGTGGTCCCCCTGGAAACTGGCTACGTCACTTTGGTAGTGCCGCCTCCCCTCAAACTGCCTACGGGAATTAAGTAGCGCGGTCATCCCTGAAACTGTCCACGGAATTTGGGCAGTGTGGTCAGCCTTAAATAAAAATTGTGTGCGGAGGGGAGTTGGAGAAGGGGGGGGGGAAGGGGGAGGGGATTCGTATTAAGTCCCCTTACTTGTATGCATATTTTATCAAATTTTTCGGCCCCGCAACACTTTGTTGGATTTTACATTTGATAAAGGATCTTTATAAAAGAATTGTCTTCAGTGGTTGTTTGATTTGTTGCGTTTCTTGGTTGATGTCAATTGTTTTCGACATTGCTGAAGGTTTTTATTTATTTTTTGCGTATCTTTAAAAGAAAATTATTATTTTTTTTTTATTTTTAACGTTCTCCAAGTGCATTTCTTTTCAAATTATACACTGGTCTTATTATATTTTTTTTTCAGTTGTCTTTGGTGTAATCGGCGTTGCCGTTGGCGCTGGGGAAAGCAAGCGGGTCTTAAACGACATTGGCAAGACCCAGATGTTCGACGTTGGCGCGTCCTTTTATCTGTTCATGGTCGCTCAAGGTGTGTTTCTATTGGCTGCTGCTTGTCACGGGATTGACTCGAGGTCAAGGTCAAGGCAAGAGCCGAATCCATCAGTTACTTAAATGACGGAATTCCTTTTTGCACTATGAGAGTATTTAAGACATGGGCTGTTCAAAACTCTGAAGTTGTTTGTTTTTTTTAAGGAGGAGGCCTGGTTTATATGGAATAATTATGTGAATTTATTTTATAAGCAAAAAACAGTTCTGGACGAAAGAGATGATTTGACGAAACAGATGATATGATGAAACAGATGACTCAATGATAGAGATTATTTGATGTAACAGATGCTTTGGTGAAACGGATGATTTGATAAAACAGATGATTTGATACAAAAGATGATTTGATGCAACATATGATTTGATAAAACAGACGATTTGGATAAAACAGATGATTTGATACAACAGATGATTTGATGAAACAGATGATTTTTACTAAACAGATGATTTGATACAACAGATGATTTGATGAAAGACATGATTTGATGAAATGAAAAGCAATGCTAATCCAGTACCCAGCGGTGGATTGGAATCATTCTCTTACTCTTCATATCAGTGATTCATTTTTATAAACAATTGATCTTCTCCCTGCCAAAATCTGAGAATGTTATATTTCGCACTAATGTTTATGATAACCTAATGACGTCTTAAACATATTTCATTGCTTTCATTGATCGCTTATTTTTCATTAAATATTGAACATTATTTTTCATGTATGATGTCAATGTTCTAAATAAGAAACACGTGTGGAATGTGAAAAAAAAAATCTCTCTTATATAAATATTTTAGTTGTTTTAAAACTAGCCAATAAAATCGTTGTATCCATGTGAACGAGTGATATATTTTCCCTTTCTTCATGATCATTTCACTTTATTTGGTAAGTCGCAAGTTTCTTCTCTATATTCTATACATAACCTTAAAGGACCCACAAGTGGAATGAATTTAGCTTATGCTATAGAAATGTAAGATGTATCAGATCTAGAGTTAACAACGTTACTGGAGATTGAGTTAGTCTGTTTCAGATGAAACTTAAGGATGTAGCTCAAGTAGGTTGTCAGACTGATAAGGAGGCTGCAGATTCCCCAGTGCCATGATGAAGGCCCTCACAGCTGGACATGCTGCAATCTGTTTCCATGGCGCACTAGGGATCGATCTGGGATCAGTAGAAAAACAAACAAAACACAATATCCAAGGCCTGGGACACATTAACTGATTATCATTTTCCTGAGATCCTCTGGAAGATGAAGAATTACTAAAAAAAAATAAAAAAAAAAAAAAAAAAAATTGGGGGGGCGGGGGGTTTCAAATGTTGGGTCTCACAAAGGGTCCCTCACGTCTCTTTTAAAACCTTTATATGACCTTTTCTTTATTCGTGTGTTTCTTTCTGGGTGTGTGGCAAAAACTTGGGGGGGGGGGGGGGGNGGGGGGGGGGGGGGAGGGAAGTGATTAATTTACCCACTGCTCGTTGACCATTTCAGCTGAAACTTAACACATACATAGATTGTTAAGGAAAATAAATTCAATAAAATTGTTCAGCTCTACACTACATCCCTGACCCAAAATATATCGGTTTTCTTGTTTTTAATGGAACATGAAGTAAAATTCCCAAAAACGTGCAAAACGAGATTCTTTAAAAAAATTATTTGGCAAATGCGTTTGGTGCTTAACATGTTTCTTTGTTTTGTTTTGTTTTTCTGATGTAGTGAAATACTTGTGTTGTGTAAAAGAAGCTGGGTCATTAGATTATTAATACCGTTCAGGGGCGTATACATTGTGCGGTTGCGAGAGCCTTGGAGGGAAGGGAGTGAGCAATAATTAGGAATCTTGAAAAGTGCGTTACTTGTGTGTATGCATGTTGCATCAATTTTGAAGCTCACCCCCACCTCCCACCCCAAGCCCCCACCTCCCACCCCAAGCCCCCACCCCCACCTCCCACCCCAAGCCCCCACCCGCACCTCCTACCCCCCACCACCCACCCCCGAGTCCCCTCACCCACCACCCCCATGGCTCGATAACACATTTGATAAAAGACCGACAGATAGACCAAATAAACAAAATCATTTTTCGTAAAAATAATGAACTTAAATTAAGCTACGGTGAAAATGTGAAGAGAATTGAAACATCCGAATCGTGCGCATTCAAAGATGTTTATTATCTCTAATAGTGTTGTACATGGTCAGTAAGTATGATACATCTGTAAATATTCCTTACTCCTGACATTGGTATACGTGTTCATCCTCTCTGACATTGTGGTAAATGTTCATGATCTCTGTCATTGTTGTGCATACAATTTTCTTCAAGCAAAATTGCCTCCGCTGTTCGTTCGATGAAAATGTATTTGATAAAAGCACGTTGTCTGAAAACAAATAGTTTTTTTTTTTTAATTAGCCAGAATTGATACAAATGACAGGTAACCGTGAACGGCCGCTGAGAACCAGAATTGTCAAGAAAATACTATGATAAGTAATGGTCGATTAAATGTTCGTAATTTAGAATAGTAGTGCGCTGGATGTCTCGACCTGAGTCAAGGGACACCCCAGCTGATGGGCGACGCAATTGAAGAACACTTTAATTAATGGGCACATCAACCGATGGGCGCGTAAACTGAGGGGCACACAACTAAAATGTACCTCGACTGATAGTCACTGGCGTATGAACACCTAAACTAAAGGACGCTTAAACTAAAAGACACCTAAACTAAAGGACACCTAAACTAAAGGACACCTAAACTAAAGGACACCTAAACTAAAGGACACCTAAACTAAAGAACACCTAAACTAAATGACACCTAAACTAAAGGACATCTAAACTAAAGGACACCTAAACTAAAAAACACCTAAACTAAAAGACACCTAAACTAAAGAACACCTAAACTAAATGACACCTAAACTAAAGGACACCTAAACTAAAGGACACCTAAACTAAAAGACACCGAAACTAAAAAACACCTAAACTAAAGGACACCTAAACTAAAAGTCACCGAAACTAAAAAACACCTAAACTAAAGGACACCTAAACTAAAAGTCACCTAAACTAAAAGACATCTAAACTAAAGGACATCTAAGCAAAAGGACACCTAAACTAAAGGACACATAAACTAAAGGAAACCTAAACGGATTGGGTCTACAGCTGATAAATACATCAAGTGAGGATCAACTTTACTGATGGAGATAATTACAAGAATATGACAACTGACGGAGACTTCAGTTGAAGATGAAGTTAAAATTCTTCTCTCTCTCCTCTCTCTCCTCTCCCCCCTCCCCCACCCTTCAAAATAATTTTATAGGAGACTCAGTTGAACGCCCTTGGTATAATTAATATAAATTACACATTCAGTAGATATTTTAAACAGTGAGTTAGTCCACCTTGGGATCTTTGACTGTGTTAAATTTACGAGATGCATCTTTACATTTAAAATTATGGTATTAGCGGATACCGTAAGAAATGTTTAAGTTTTAAAAAAAAATATTTTTAAAGTATCTATGTATACTCGAATGAAATTAATTAATTAGCTTGTGAAAATTGCTTGTTTAACTACAAGTGCTAGCTGCGAAAATCAAAACATATATTCAATCATGCTTTTTTTTTTACAAATCAATATCATTGGTTAAAATTAGTGAAATTACTGGAAAGGGATTTTATCTCACTGCTTGACAAAATAATAAATTATTTGATGTGCTTTTCATGTTATCGACATCTGACGGTGTTCAGCTCCGGATCACTTCCCTTTCATTGTGTTCTAGAAATGGAGAACCACACTGGACATGGCCATAGCCAACCCGTAGAAGACAAGAATAATATCTGAGGGACAAAAAAAATGATGTTAATAAATTGAATAATCATGTTCTGGTGATTTTGAACAAGTTAAATCATATCTTAAAGATTTTTTTCGTGGGGAGGTGAATACGTGGAGGTGTTTATTGGTCAATATATTTTGTTACTTTGAAATAAAATAAAAGTATTTACATTTGAAAGCATTAAGCAATCGCTATTATCACCCCAAAAAATAAACCCCCACAAAGAATTCACAAAGAAGCTTTAACGTCAGGTAAACATTACAGTCAACACGTAGAATGCCCTTAAAAAACAATATCTGGAAAAAAAATGTTGAGGTTGGCAAAGATTTACTGCATATATATATAGATATATATTATATATACACACACATAACTAATTATCTAATAAAATATGCGTTTCGATACCTGTAGAGGGCCTTCTGTAAGACATGCCATTCTTAGATGATGTGAGAAGAGACTTGGGATTTTCACATGAAGCATCTTCTGTTATGTTATAGTATGGTGCTTCTAATCAAATGATTGTGGAAAAAAAAGTGTTCTTTTAAAATTTAAACTAGAAGCTAGACATCCTGCAAACGTGGGTTGTAATTATAATAATTTTACAGTTGGTGTAAATTAATAATATCCTCTCTTGTTAGACTTAGAGATCAAAATGTGAAATTCAATAGATTTTTGTGTCTAAATCAGACGATATTGGTAGTGATTATTCATATTTTTCCTCATCTGACAATGTGCTTCTCTGGTTCCACCGTACCCAAGGCCGGACTGAGCCATCTTGGTGCCCTAGGCACGTGCCTTGTTTGCCTAATGGTTAATCCAGCCCTGACCGTACCCCCCAACCCCCTCTATCCTGCACGATGCTCTCTCATCACCAGGACCCTGACGAACGACACTTCCATGACGTGCTTCTAGGGCTCCATTGCACCTCTCGATCCTGCACGATACGACCTGATCGAAAAGATGCAAGTTTTTCCCCTGGGTATTCTCTAGTTCATAGACCACAACTTGAAGGCAGGTCTTTTTAATCAAAACTTCAAAACCAATCATGATTACAAGTTGACGTTGACGGGTATGAGGCCAGAGGCGAGGGTGGTAACCTCTGGCCGAGGATTCAAATAATGCAGCCGTGAGAAAGCTGCCCCTAGGCAACCGTTTCGTCCCAGCTACAGCGTGAACTAGTTGCGTTGTGGAAACCCACTGTGGAATCCCTCTTATACGGCGTCCGACGCTTTCCCGGGATGGGTGGAAGAAGATATTAGGACGTAATTTTTTCCATCCCAACTCCTAGAGAAAGTCGATCGCGTGCACTGTTTAAACGCATAGTGTCGGATCGACCGGGTGCCTCCTGGTTGGGGCGGCCCCCAGGTGGGGTCCTGGTCGAGCGCCCAGGCGCCCAGGTGGGGGACTTGGGTGAGGGGCCCGTGTGGGGGCCATCCTGACGAGTGGTCATCTCCAACGTGCCGCTCCGCGGCCCGATACGTCGGACCGGGGAGGGGTAATTTGGGGGGGGGGGCATAAAGAGTCTTAGACTCGCCCCGCTGACGCCATTTCTTAATGTAACATATCTAGATATAAAGAGGATAAAGAGGAAAGTAACTTTATCTAAGGAATCATTTTCGAAGAACTTTTTCAAGGAAATAAAGTAAAAAGGCTTTTGAGTCAAGCTAAATCCTGTCAAACTATATAAAACTCTGATATTTGGAATCTAATATCTTAAATTAAACAAAATGCAATGAATTATTTAAATCTATAACTGAATTTTTTAAAGAAGAAGAAGAAAATGAAATAATGTTAAAATATTGTTTGAAATATTGGAGAAAAAGCTAGACCAGAGAAAAAATACTTTTACCGTAATGTACAGTTTTAAAATGTTACGTGTGCACTTTGTGTGTTCATACAAAAAGTAGTGTCACTCCCACTCCCAGCGCGGCAGCAGACCCCAAATGTCCCCAACAACTTCTGCAACGCAAATGCGTCTAACATTTACTTCTATTATAAGCAATGTGAAAACAAAGTACGTTTAGAAAGCTCAATGAAAGGCTCCATATGACACGCACAGCATTCACTTAGAGTGTCACAGTTCACTTGATTTCCTAGCAGGATTCAATACAAATAACCAGAGACAAATTG